AGCATAAAGTGAATGATTACATGGAGCAATATCAATCTATTGATTTTTATAACACTGAACAGATTGACCCTTACACTTGCATTAACAGAACACAATAAAATGAAAGCACCATCCATATTGCAATGAAAAACAGAAACTAGCTAAAGAATATGTAGATAACAGTAACATGTCCAGTAAAATGACAACTTTCTGACTGTTTTGAAGAAATAGAGACTACATTCACATATCATCAAGAGAGCTATGGGCTACAAAGTTCACCTGATTTACACTTCTCTACAGAACAAATGGAACATCCTGCTTCATGAATGATTTACATTAAAAGTTTCATTTCTTGATGTTTAGATTATGAAAAAGAGAGCCTTGTTACTGGTACTGAAATCACACTTTCCCCCTCCAAAAATTACAAATAGGTAATTTTGCATATCAGATAGTTTTATGCATTGTCTTAATTTGGAATGATTTTTTTAACTGGGGGGTAATACAAATGAATGGCAAAGTTTTAATCCATCAGAGTAACTTTTCAACTGAACTGCAAAAAATCTCAAATTTTATGAAGGGCAGCTGCATGAAATATTTCACATAAGTTTTAGCCATTTCTTTAAGAATAAAACATTAAAACATAAAACAGTTCAATTGGACACACTCATGTGCTTTTGACTTGCATGTATAACACCTAGGATCCTACTAGTAGTATATATGTTGGATATAAGGTTATGTACTAATTACTTTACGGTAAAAGTACAATAAACTATTCTACACCAACAGAATAAGCACACAATCATACAGTCTAATTTCACCTTAATTCATGCAACCTTGGGAACAGGGCAAATATGTGGACAATCAGAGATATTTTTACACTGCATTAAAGAACAAGGGCAAACAAGGTGAGGATATTCCCTCTCTGATACATTTTGTTTTGCATGGCAATATATTTTTTTTAACCAATATTGTCAGCAATGTCATTTTTAACCCAATTCATTTATTAATTTTATTCAACTTATTAATTGATAATTAGTTTTTTGGGTGACAGTTTAACATATCTAGTTGAAAATTGGTATATTGGTGCTTTAAAAAAATTGAATATTATTGAGTTAGACTCCACTCTTGAAATGATAGGAAAATAAATGTAAAATCTATTAAATTTTTTTAAAAAAGAAGTCTGAACTCGTTCTTTATAAACATGATGAAAAAAAATTATATTTCTGAAAAAAATTGCTTCATCAAACTCATTTCCCTTCACAAATTTCTCTTAATGCTCTGTCCATAAATACCATATACCAAATTTTACAAGATTGTATTTGATGTGTCAGAGTTTAAAATATTGAAAAGTTTATGGAAATATGCACAATAAAATATAAAATAGATTGCAAACAGGTAAACTTAATTTATAAATGCAAAAAATTAGTTCATTTCTCCAAAGTAAATCCTAATTAACTCAATTCAACTCCTATAAATTAAATTGCCATTCTTTACAATAGTCTTTGAACACTCTGGATGGAAAAAATTTGACCAGATCATTAACATTGATTTAACTTAATACAGTTGCCATTTACTAAAAGTAAAATTGAAAAAATATAAACCATAAAAAAGTCAAAATATCAACCACTTCCAGGTATTTAATTTACAGACCTCTAATAATTGATTCTCTGAATTTAACAAAATGAAGTTTATTGCGACACTTTTAAAAGGTGAAGAAAAAAACATCAAAATTAAGCAGTATTTACAATATAAAAGCACCAGATTATTCAAATTTAATCAGCAATATAGCTCAAAGAGTTTGTAGCAGAGTTTAAAATTTTTTGACAATGACTGAAAAAGCTGTAAAATAAAAAAGCATCTGTATAAAAGCACTGAATGAAGCACTACAACCAATTCCACTACATCTGTGGCATCCATTACAACCAATACAACTTCCACTAGTTTGTGGTTCTCCTTCAGCTACACAAATCCATTCTTCTCCCCTCATGGATTATACCTCATGTCCTTAAATCCTACTGAATCAAATAAAAACTATGTAAAGTTAATATTCGGCAAATGTAACATTAAAAAAAAACACCACTTTTACAAATTGTCACTTTTAAAATTAAAAAATAATTGTGTTTCACTATATTGAGATTTCTGATAATATAACTAATTTTCATAATCCCTTGGCATAAAGTAAATATGATAAAAATAGCTTATTTTTTTTATATTATAATTGGGATTACCGTATAATCCCTATTAACCGACCTATCAGCGATTGTTTTTTTGTAAATGACCTGTACAGTGATTAAAATCATCTAGGGAGACTAGAATCGTATCAAAAGACTCAAAAAATTTGAAGGAATTGAAAATGAAACTTGTTTATTATCAAATTTTTTGGTAAGAAACATGCAATTCTATGAATAGCTATGCTGTCATGGGTGGATATCTTCATTTAAATAAGTTGATTACAAATCTATATTGAATTTATTTTTTTTTTTCAAAATATTTTTTGAAGTAAGATATATAAATTAATAAATAAACATAACTCAATTTTTCTTAATTTTTAAGCGCCCGGGGCGGTTGAAAAAACCTTTATTTAATTTTTTTAAAAATGTTCTTTATTTTCTTTCGATGATGCAATCTGCTGCGTACCTGATGGAAATCACGTGACGAAAGCAATCCCGTCTTTTGACTTCACCGTATGCCAAGGGTTCATGAGGAGAGTAGCGTATCAGAGGCCCTTGGCTAGCGAAGATGCATGTTAAAATACATTAAAAATAATAGTGTTTTAATATATTAAGCACTGCATTCAACGTGAAAAACTAAATGTTGTGTAATAATTTGCATGAATCACCTCTGCCACTGATTTTGTGTCAATTATTGTCAGTGGTTATTCTTTCCATTTGGAGTAAAGAAAAGGTAAGATACATGAAGGAAATTGCATAGTTTCTTCATACATTTGGTGGGTGTGTGGAGGAAATTTTTACGATCGACCTGCTTAGTGGACGGTTTATTTGTTTCAACATTAGCTGGTGATTAATTTTTACGCTTCAAATTTTTGCGAATTGTCACTGTCACTAAAAATAAAAATCACTTGAAGATTAAAAAAACAGGTATTGTTTCAAATTAGTATGCACAGTCAGAAACCACCAATTTATTCATATTTAACTTGGCAAAGAAATTGCAGAATGTTGAAACTTTTTTTTGATAAAATGGTGTGTTTTAAAGGATTTAAATTAAAATAATTTCACAAGTTGATTATAGCAAACATTTTAGAGGTTGTGTATGCCTTTTACCTAAAATATAATCCAAACAAAGTTAAAAAATATAATTTTGCTCAACGTTAAATCATTTGACATCTGACATAAGACTGTTACCTTGGCAGATGTTCACATTTGGAACTCTCGACATTAAATGCACGACACCGCTTACAGAATTCATCGCCCGTGTTGATGACAAAACGACAACACCTAAAATAACAGTTCTCTCTTTATCGGCAAAATAATTAAAAAGGGGCATACCGCCTCAGTGCTTGTCAAAAACAACAAACCTGTATTCCATATACGAGGGCAGATTTTAACAGTCACGGGTAATTAACTTGTAGTTATAGTAGTATAAACAGGTTTCTTTGGTGAAAATGACCATGTTTAGCCTATTTTGAGTTAAAAAAAGACAGAGCTCTTAGAAAAACCGTGTCTTGTGTTGAATTTATTTGTAAGAAAAATATTTTTACGAATGTAATGCACATGCAAATTCTGCTAAAAATTTCATTTTCTACAATAAAAATTTCCAGATTAATACATGTACATTAATATTTCTCCAAAGTTTTTAAACTTTCTATGGAAAATTATTTTTTCAAGAGTAACAAGAAATGTTTCTGATCTTTCTGACAATGAGCAACTTTAATGGCTGCTGTGTTGCCTATATAAGGGGTACCACCTTCTGTTAGTGATTACCACGTCTGCTTCTCGACAGTGGAGTAAGACTTCCTGTCATTGATAAGGTTGACCCCTGGCAAAAGGGGTGATGGTTCCACTTTGATGGAGGTGAGAAGCAGACAGCAGATGTTTGGGTGACCCCACTTTATCGATGGCAATCTCTTTAATGTATTAAGCACTGCATGGTATATCCTAGGGATGACCCCAAATTAATCTGTTGGTAAGCACTGCATGGTAACCTTGACCCCTGCCACTGTTTGTAAGCACTGCATGGTCACCTTGAATCTTTGAATAACAAGATGAATAAATAAATATGTTGTGTCGATATACGAGCTGTAAAGGTTTGACTAACAAATGGTGGAACCTGATCAGCAAAATACATCCTTATCATGAATGAAATGCTGCCCGGGAAGGAATTGTGCTGAACATTTGGTGGGATTGTGGAGGACGCAACAGGATATGAAATTTAATCATTGACTCTGGCACTGTGATGATCTGATTTACTGTGCATTAGTGACTTCTGATTTGTTTGAACACTAGCTGAGGTGATGGTGTGGGATACATTTTGATGATTTGTGGAAACTCTGCTAGTATGGCGCGATCCTGGAATCCTTGAAATCTTGGAGCTACAACAACATACAGGAAACACTGTAACGTTTATTAACATGTTTTTTAAGGATAGGGCAGATACATGTCATAATAATTTTCCGTATAATTGATTATTGAAATAAGAATGAATTTACTTTTTTTGTTTTTGTGTATTTTAGAAGAAATGAATTATTCATGAACAACCAGACATAATATAAGGGGCTCAAAAGCCACCTGTTCAGTAGAAGAGCTGAGTTAAATCACTTAAGACCGTTACCTTGACAGATTTCACACTGTTGAATAAGAGGATCTGAAGTTAATTTAAACATCGCCGACACCGCTTATTGCCATGGCAAATATTCATGTACAATGTTCTTTACATGTATGTGACAAAATTGACAACACCTTAACAGATTTATACCTTTTTAAAAGGCAGTTGGTTTTAAAACCAGATGTTACTTATCACATTCACCTGGCACTTCACCGGGGTGTCCTTATATAATCAACAACACAACCTGGAAACATTCAGGGTTCCAAATTTAACACAGAAAATCAGTATGGTGTGGCATTCGGGGTAGAATCTTATCAAAACAAATCAGTGTGTAATCACCTAAATTTTTGCTTTTGGACTTGTTTAGCCTTTATTTAAACCCCCAGGGTCAGAGATTTTGGACTACATGTGTTGTGGGAATTCCATTGCAAAATTTGTTTACCAAGTCACTGCACATACCCAAGTTTTGCATTTATCTCTAATTTATATTATATAAATTTACTTAACAACTACACCTTATAAACTTAATACATGTACATTAATATTTTTCAGGAGTTTTAAAACTTTCTATGGATAATTATTTTACAAGAGCAACAAGAAATTTAATTTTTCATCCAAGTCAACTGGACAATGCAAGCAACTTTATAAAAAGATGAATTACTTGTGTCGCTTTTAAAGATAGGGCATTCAGTCTCTTCTGTTGGTAATTACTAAAGAGGAATCTATCTTCTCTATACTGAATTATGTCATTACCTGTCATTTCTTTTTGATTTTGGGCACACACAGTGATGGTTCCACTTTGATGGAGGTTAAAAGTTGGAGAATCAAAAGTTAAAGGACTTGAAGTTCCTCAAGAACAAAACTCAGCGGCAATTCTGACGAGTTCCCATCTGTTCTCTGTATACCCTAGGGAAATAAAGAACCAAATAAACGTTTCTAAGAATGTAACAGAAGCTTTGCTCTTTGTCAAACAATTCAAGGCATCTTTAAATAATAACAAAAATAAAACAAATATTTTGGTGAGATAAAACTAGAAAAGTTTCTTAAAAAATGGCTGACACCTCAGCATAATACATCCCTACCATGAATGTAATCTTGACTTTTTCAAAATGTTTGGCAGATTGTAAAGATTTCTCAAATAGTATATGAAAATTAATAACATTTTAAATTTGAAAGACAGACCTGATTTCCTTGTGCATTAGTGACTTCTGATTGGACAGGAGCCCTATTGGTGGTTGTGACAGGAGGTGGCCCTGTATTAGTTACTGGTACCCTCACTCCGGCTTCCTCCATTATGGTGCGCACCTGGAGTGAAATCTCCCCAACACCTACAACATACAGGTATAGTCACTAGAGATGTGTGTCTTTTGGTTGAGAAAGAAACCTTTATCATTTCTTGTGATGGAAGGCATCAATTTACTGGGAGGTATAGCTTTTGTTTATTTCCTTACATGGTAGGAGTACGTCTCGCAGTTCCACACAGGTCCCAGGGGCCTCCCAAAGGGGCTCAAAAGCCACCTGTAGATCCGAGCAAAGACCACGACACACTCCCCGTACTTTCTCCGTTACTTGAACCTGAATTAGATGTTTTCATCTAAAGTTCATTTCCTTCATAAATACACAACTATCCTGCTTATTGCCAAGGCAAATGTTCATGTACAATTTATAACTGTACTTGAATTTAAAGCCTCTTACTGTATACAGGGTTATTTTTGCGTCGTGTTATTTTCGCCCTTTCATACTTGCAAACAATTTTGCCCCGTTTTGATTTCGCTCAGATACAGTTTTGTTTAAGAAATCAAACTGTGTTCACTGTGAATTCGCCCCATTTTGAATTCGCCCAACTGTAAGTAGGACAAAAGGGTTGAAAATAAAACGGTAGCAAAAATTTCCCTGTATGCAGAATTAAAATGACTTATTTAATCTGATTTAAAAGGTAATTTCAAAATCAAACGTAATTTGAATCTATACAGTAAATGTACTTGATCATTCTTGTTATAGTCAAAACACAATGGAAAAATTCAATCTTCATTTGCACAGTCAGTATTTGTATGGGTGAATGTTGTCAAAGCTATGTTAGGAATCCCCCTACCTTGATTTGCTCCAATTCCTGCAGCAGGTTGCGAGAGGCGTCATCAAACATATAGATTTTCCCTCTGTCGATTCCTGCCGCCATGCCGTCCTTCATCTCTCTGGTAGGCTCCCGGTCCACTCTCTGCGGCACAAGCGTCATAGGTTGGAGTCATGTTCTCCTGGAACAACAATTTACTTTATTCATGTATTAATGTAAAAATTCATTATCATGAATATACATGTATATAAAAGATAGATATATAAATTTATCTTATAATTATTTTCCTATATTTTCCTCAGTGTTGTAGGCTATAGCTATTCAATCAAATCTGAGTACTTTTCAGACCCTTACTCCAGTTACCCAGTACCTTGACAGTATTTTCCTTTACACTATTCACAAAAAAAATTTACCTGTATTGCTCAGCCATTTTACAGGTGACAGAACAGCTTACCTGTATTACAGTGTCTTTATAGCTTACCTGTATTACAGGTGTCAGACCAACTTACCTGTATTACAGGTGTCAGAACAACTACCTGTATTACAAGTGTCATTATATAAATGGTGCCTGTTTTGGAGGGTAACAGTTGAAATTGACATAAAGGAAAACCATTGTCAACCGATGCGTTAGCGGAGGTTGACAATGGTTTTCCGAGGGGTGTCAATTTCAACTGTTACCCTCCAAAACAGGCACCATTTATTTCATTATACTGAATGATTTGTTGATTTAAGATGTCAGCAAAAAAAAATCGTCGATCGTCTTTACGTTCACGTTTAGAAAGCTTTCAAACTCCCCGCTTCTTTGAAAAGATTTACTGACCTCTTTATTGTTTCTTTGAGTCCTTTATCATCTAAAGTTTCGTTATTTCTGCACTTGCAAGCATGTTTCGTCAGTCTGTTGTTGTTTTCAAGTAAGCTACATCGGACACATGCTTTTATTGACGTTAGGTTTATTCCGGTTCTTTCAAACGTGCAACTGACGCTTTTAGAATTCTACGGTGAACCGTACGCGCATAATTTCCCGCATGTAGCATTACCGTTGTGTTACCCGTTGTCACGTGTGTTGCTAAGGCTGAGGGTAATAGAATTGATTGTTAACTGCATCTAAACCAATCAGATTTTAGTATTTAACATGAAAGTATAATAATATAGCTTACCTGTATTACAGGTGCCAGAACAACTTACCTGTATTACAGATGTCAGAACAACTTACCTGTATAACAGGTGTCATTATAGCTTACCTGTACTACAGGTGTCAGAACACGATTGGCATCCCTCTGTCTCTCTGTCACAAATTCTTTAAGAGCAGCCACCATCTCTGTCAACTACAAGAATTATATGAATTTATTTAAATTTATTTACAAACATGTTGATTTCCCTCTAGTTTAAATACATGTTGGAACATAAAAAAAAAGTCAAACTTATTTATAATTTGCATTGACTGACCTGATGCTTTGCATTGTCTAAGATGTAGGCCTGTACCCTCTGTGTACTGCTGGGCTGTACAACGTGTGTATGAAGATCCTGAATCAGGATCTGAATAAACTCCTTCAGTGAAGTCAGTACTGTTGTCCTAAACTTCTCAAAGTCACCCCACAGTATTCCACTGAAAGCAATCAAAGCTAAACGCTGACACAAGCAATAACAAGAGGCCCATGGGTCACATCGCTCACCTCAATCAATACAGTCCCTTTCCTCTTCAGCAATCCCACAATGTTCCACTAAACTACCACTGTAGTTATGTTTTATTAAACCTACACTAAATGAAAATACTTCCATATCCAAAAGACTAATAATGGCTTTGCTGCTCTTCAGAAGAATATTTTTCACGAATTTCCCCTGTATATTCCTATGGAAAACTTTGTTATCCCATTGTGCCCCCACCCTACCACCAGGAATCATGATTTGAACAAACTTTAATCTTAACAATCTAAGGATGCTTTCACATCAATATGACTAATCATAGCTTTGCTGTTTTTGATGAGATTTTTCACATTTTTCCTAAGAATTTTCACTCATATGGAAATTCCCCCATTTTCCTGTGGAGGGCTGCAAATTTTGACCTATACACCTCACTCAGGGCCATTGAGCAGGGAGGGATCTTAATCATTCAAACAGCCACAGTCACATCTATTGTATACTTAATATAATGTTCAGATTTTACTAACTTAAAATTAATCTAAAGGGCTCCATTGTTTTTAGGCTTACCTGAAGACTTTATCCCACACAATGGATATCCTTGAATACATAGGAGCCGTAAGGTCCTCGTTAAAATTGACCGGTCCATACGTGGGGGACTGGAACACCCCATGTCTCTGTACCGTGGCTCGGTACGCACAGAATTGTAACCCCCCGGCCTGTTTGTTCTCTTTATTCACCTGGAATGAATTAAAAAGTTTTTCTTACGAGAACAAAATGCATGCAAAGCAGTTAAGATTTGGCACAGATGGGATTACTCATATTTCCTGGAGTAATTTTCCATTTTACAATGAAATCAAGAGGATTAATTTAATCATGAGGTCCATGATCCACATCTCTCAGTTGAGTATTTAGGTAAAAAAAGTCAAGTAGAAATCTGACAGTTCAATATTTAAAGATTTAAAAGTAGTCAGGGGGAAGGGTTGTAAGAACTACGAACAAATATATATTGTTCTCCTGCCTACCTCCAAGTCCATTTTTAAAAGTTAACATATTTGATTGATTTTTAATGCTGTAGAAGTACTTTTTTCAGCGTGGTATTAATTTACGCTTTGTATGCGGTAACAAATTTTCCACGGAAATTTCTTCAAGCATACTTAATATAAATGTAAGGCATATAGTGACAGTCTAGGAAATTTTCTACATGCGGATTCAACAGAAATTGAGATTTCGAGGAATTAAAACCCCGTGGAAAAAAATACATCTACATTTTTTTTCCTTAAGATATTTATATAAATTTTCATAAAAAAAAATATTTATTTGGGAAAAAAAAATGAGAGATAACTCCATAGTTTTGGTAAAACTTGTGTTTTTACAATAGCAATCAACGGAAAATATTTTCTTTTAAATCAAGTCGCTGTAAGCATCAAATCATTATAAATGTGTTGGCTATATGCTTGTGTTACTGTACTAAAAAAAATATAACACATTTTAGATGTTCAATTAAAGATACCGGTGATCCCCATTTTGCTGCTTGTTCATTGGCTTTCATGGAGGCTTCGGTGATGCCCTTTCCTAACTTAGGTCGGATCTGATTGGAGAATGCCTTCTCTATGTCCAGCTGTAGATCTCTTATCAAGGAATCAAACTTCTGTGACAAGAGTTGTGTCCTCTGCTCAATGGCACTTTGTGATTTCTTCTTTTTTTCCTTTGTCTATAATTAAAGGGCATAATGATAAAAACAAGAGGCCCAAGGGCCTTGAATCGCTCTTCTGATAAATTGTACAATCTATCACTTCTATTAGAAGCCTCCAACTCTATTAGTATCATAAGACCCAAAATGCATCAACTTACAAAGTTTGATAACACATGTATTTAGCCAGTTAAGACTAAAGATATTATAAAATAATTATCAAATACCATGAGTAGGTCAAAGTGACCTACCTTTTGATTGGAATTTTCTGAGGACTCAAGATACATTAATTGACAAAGACTGATGATTCTAATTAAATAAGTACCTGAGATATTCAAAAGTAAGTCACCATGACCTACTTTTTGGTCAACATTCTCTGAAAACCCAAGATCCATCATCTGACAAAGTTTGACAATTCTAAGCCAATTAGTTCCAGATAATTAAATATAGCCATCAAATGTCAAAAGTAGGCCACGGTGACCTACTTTTTAGACGACATTATCCAAACATCAAAGATGCCTAAACTGAGAAAATTTCCTGATTCTAAGCCAATAAGTACCTGAAATATTCAAAAGTAGGTTACCGTGACCTACTTCTTGTTGGACATTCAATGAAACAGTATCAACTGACAAAGTTTGATGATTCTGAGCCAATAAATACCAGATATAATTAAATATAGCGATAAAATGTAAAAAGTAGGTCACAGTTACCTACTTTTTGGTCGACGTTCTCCGAAAACCCAAGGTGTCTAAACTGACAAAGTTTGATGATTCTAAGCTAATACGTACCTGAGATATTCAAAAGTAGGTCACAGTGACCTACTTTTTGGTCGACGTTCTCCGAAAACTCAAGGTGCCCAAACTGACAAAGTTTGATGATTCTAAGCTAATACGTACCTGAGATATTCAAAAGTAGGTCACTGTGACATACTTTTTGGTCGACATTCTCTGAAAACCCAAGATGCATCATCTGACAAAGTTTGATGATTTTAGGTCAATAAGTACCAGAGATACTTAATTATAGCCACAAAATGTCAAAAGTAGGTCACTATGAACGACTTTTTGGTCGTCACTCTCCGAAAACCCAAGATGCATCAACTCACAAAGTTTGATGATTCTAAGCCAATAAGTACCGGAGATACTTAAATAAAGCCATAAAATGTCAAAGTAGGTCACCATGACCTACTTTTTGGTCGGCACTCTCCGAAACTAAATATGCATCCACTCACAAAGTTTGATGATTCTAAGCCAATAAATGCCTAAGATACTGAAATATAGCCATAAAATGTCAAAAGAAGTTCATCATGACCTACATTTTGGTTGACATTTTTCAAGGACCCAAGATGCATCTACTGACCGAGTTTGATGATCGTAGGTCTATCTGAAAGTAATCAAAATACGCATTTTAAACAATTTGAAAACAAATCTCCGCAAAATTTAAAAAGTAGGTCACCGTGACTTACTTTTGAGTTAACATGATGTGAAGTCGTAAGATGCATCAACTTACAAGATTTGATGATTCTAGTCCTTATAGTAAGAAAAATATACACGTTTTTATTAATTTTAAATTTAGGTCAACTTTGAAGTGACCTTGAGACCACGCCCTTTGCCCCAGGGTCATGCCTTGAACAGTTTTTAATCTTCAACATATCCTGATCCTTGTATGTAAGTTTGGTGATAATCTGCCTGGTGGTTCTGGAGAAGATTTTTTAGCAACCAGTACTTTTGGTTATGTTTTCCTGATTATCTCCCCTTGTTTTAGGGTCCCAACCCTTATTTTAGTATAAATAGTAGCCCTTGGGCCAAGGATACCCTGTGACAAATTTGGTACTGATTGGCCAAGGGGTTCTTGAGTTATGGTCCATATTCTAAAAAGTTAACGCACACCGCACAAATGGCCATAGCATTAGCTCTTTGAGCCTTTGGCTCAGAAGAGCTAAAAACTCTATCAGCTATATGTCTGAATACTGAAGGGGAAAATTTTGAAAAAATAATAATACAAGAACAATACATCTTTAAACTTAAGGTCTTTTTACTATTTTCTGAAACTGAATATTGGTTTTGTTTTTCTGTTTGTAATTAATTATAGAATAGACAATACAACTTAAGCAAGTAATGATAAAATTAAGTTTTAAGTAAAACATTGCACCCACTAAAACACTAGCACTAGTTTTATCAAGACTAAATGAATTTTCAGCTGTAACCTGGATGGTTCCATCCTCATTGAGGTAATTCTGTACGTCAAACACAAACTGAACCACCCTCTGTAGAATTCTCTCTATACTGCTGCGGTGTCGGACAGCAGTCATCTGGTGGATGTACGACCTTAAGGCTGGGATCTGGGTGTCCTCTTCTGTACTAAACACCTACAATAGCAAAGCCAAAGCTGCCCCCTCATCCAAAATGCTTTTCAAGTTTCTTACAAGAGTGGAAGATGATTTGAAGAATGCAAAAATTGTGCTTAAAATTACGATTTTCTAGATCTTGAATGTAAACAAATCATTCAGGACCACACAAATATGCTTTTTAATTATTTTGCTCAGTCTACATATGTACCATAATTGCGTTCTATGAAAAATCAATAGGCTTGTTCAACAATGCGAGCACTCCTAAACATTTCTTTTGGAGGTACATGTATTATATTTGGTTCACACTCGCCTACATTTGCTTTGTTGAACAGGCCTCTGAAGTTTAATAGAATTTTGTTAAATCCTGAGTTAGAACAGAATGGTGCCCGATAACTTACTGTGGGGGGCCCGTCGTCGATGATGATATTCCTCATTTTCTGGTATTCGTTGGCGCTGACACAGAATACCTTCAGGTTCTCGGCTGATGATCCGATATCTTCATCATCATCCTCGCTGTTATACAAATTATCATCATCCATCTCCTCTACATTAGACATCCCAGCCTTCCTTTTCATCTCCTGTGAAATAATATGTCATCTCAATAATTCCAAAATAGCTCTTAGATTATACATGCATTTTATGTCCATATCTCATACATATATTTACTCTATTTAGATACAAATTTACATAGACACATGATAACTATAAGTGCATGTCCAATAAATCATGATGTAAAATATATGGCATATTTCACAAATTTTTGTTATAAATAATCTTATCTTGTGCAAACAAATGCAAAACTAAATTTGAGTGATTAGATAATCTCATGAAAAAACAAAAAAGTAAATTTTAAGTTGTCAAAAAAAGAGGACATGTACAAGTGATTTTCAGTAATCACAGTCATAAAATAAATACATCATGTACAAAATGTAGATCATTCTTGAAGCACAATAACACCTGTATCAATACTAGGAGAAAATACATATCACATTCTATAATTACACAACAGAAAATATATCATTACCCTTAGTCCGGCCTTGAAGTCCCTCTTGATTTCCTTTTTGGAGTAGTTATTCCTGGCCTTGGCACACAGACTGGACAGTTCCTTTCTCTTCTGACCGATGGTCATCTCGTGCTGTAGACAGGTGTTGTCAGCTTCAGTGATAGATTTACGGTACGACTGAATCAGCTCTTTATTTTTTCTGATTGCCTCTTGTTTTTCCTTCAGCATTTCCTTGATTTCTTTGACCTGAAAATATATAAGAAGGGAATGTTAATCCAACTTCACTATGTACAGTAATGTCTTGGTTTCTAAAACCTAAACCTTTACTTTCCCCTGTAAATCAACTTTAATTTGTTTGCAAGAAATATCTGTAAGTTTAATGGCAAGCATTACTAGTATTTCTCACTGCGAACCTTTTTTTCTCATTTTAATAAGAAAGTTAATCTTTAATATAGAAGTTTTCTTATTGGCTAAAATTAAAATTGCAGCTAAACAGATGATTCATAAAGAAGAGGCCCATGGGCCATAAAGATTTTCCCCTTTGTAATACCTATTGTGGCCCCTCCCAATCCTGGGGGCCATGATTTTAACAATTTACAATCTACATTACTCCAGAATGTTTGAACAAAAGTTTAAGCTTTTCTGGCCCAATGGTTCATGAGATTTTTCCATCTTTTTTAGCCTTTTCTTGATTATCTTCCCTTGTATGAGGGTTTGACCTTTTGTTTTATTTTAAATTACCTTTTACCCACAAATGCTTTGTACCAAGTTTGGTTAAAATTGTCCCAGTGGTTCTTGAGAAGAAGTTGACAGTTGAACTGATAAAAGTTACATATAAATTATATCATTATCAGCTTGTATCTGTCTCCTGTGAGTCCTCCTTGCCCTACATGTAAATAAACACAATTTTAAACACAATAAACTAAACACATCCCGGTTCTCCTTCAGCTGCTCCACACTGCCTGTTGGATCGTCTTACTGTCCTCTAAATCGTTCTTTTCCATCTCCAGATTGAAATTTTTAAGTGTTATTTTGTCTTGCCCTTATAAACAACAAAATTATATCAATATCAGCCAGTAGTTTAGCTCCAAGGAGGAAACATGCCTACAGTACACATATTCATGATAATAAATACAAACTTGTCTAATCTACACAAAGAAATCGACTGAAAGAAGAGATTTGTAAAGATCAACAAATCACTCTCCCAGAAATGTTACTCTACAAAGCAGTTCTTTAATTTTCATATAGCTTATAAAACAATGACAACAAGTGTACCTGATGATTTCCGAGTTTTTGATGATGTCTGTCTTTGTACAGATAAACGCGATGTTTCCATACTGTCCATCCATCAGCAGCTGTCTGCGGAAGTTCTCTCCCAGAAGATCCTTGGCTGTCTTATCATCAATGGCACGATGAATGGAAGACACAACCCAAACAGCTGTACAGTTCTTCAAATGCTGAAAACATACATTCAAAGGGTCTTTAATATGTCTCCGAAAAACCTCTATCTAAAATAATTTACGTAAGACATAGCTCACAGAAATGAGTACGGCTATCACTGGTTTGCGGCGAGAATCATTCACGATGACAAGGCTCTCGTGAACCTTGAAAAAATTTCTTGTACGCGAATAAAAGTTGGCTTAAAATACCCGCACACATCTCCAGCTATTTTGTGTCAGGCAGCTATTGGTTAAGCCTAGAATTACTAGAAATTGAATATTCACTCACATCTCGAGCTATTTTGTCTCGGGCTGCGTTCGAATCCCTCACTCCTGGTAGATCCACCAGTACTGCTCCACTGCTGCAGGCATCACAGTTAGGTAAACGAATTGTAACCTTCTTTACAATTGGCCAAAACTGACCCCCAGCACCAGGGTCAGCAGTTTCTATGTATTTATCGATGGAATTTCTGAAGGTTTTAGGCTACAAAAATCAAATATCATACTTATACTACAAGTATCTGATTGGCAGTTAAGTTTGATAGGATTTTTTCCAAGATCAAAGAAATTTTTATGCAAACATCAGATTTTTTAAATTTCTAATCAACCCAACTCGTAAATTGTGTGTAAGAAAAAGTAAGAAGGTATAACTGTACACAAGAGATGCTAGTTTTACCATAAAATCAAAACTATGAATGAGGTATTTTTGGAATTGAAATGATGAACTTTGGTATCAATACTGTATGCAGGGTTATTTTTGCCCTGTGTTTTTTTCCGCCCTTTTTAACTTGTGAACAGTTTTGCCCCGTTTTAAATTCGCCCAGTCATAGTTCTGCTTTAAAAAAAATATGAGGTGTAATTTGAATTCGCCCAATCAATGAGAGGGCGAAAGGGGCGAAAATAAAACGGGAGCGAACATTTCTCTGTATACAGTAAAGGAAATCTGTAATCATTTGATTGAAAAAAGAAAACTTCATTTCAAAATAAAATGTAACAGTTTTTCATATTTCTGTCTGCAATTACACTTTTTCAAGCATTGCAGAAATTTGTGAATCTACAAAAACACTTCTTAAAAATTACTTTTTTGTCATGATGAGTATTGAAGACCCTACATGGTTGACCTTGCTTATTAGGTAATATACTGTATACTTACATCTGAGTTAGAAATGGGCCGGACTCTGTCTAGCCACCTCGTTACGACCGACTGACGGACCAGTACATCATACGTGTCAATCCTCCCATACACGGCCTTAATCTTCAGGAATGCCACCCCTGCCTCAGACTTGGGATCTGGAACCCCTTTCTTGATCTTTCCATTCACGTCGGTGAGATCCCTCAACAAGAGACGGAGCTCTGTGTGCCATTCCTACGCAGAAAGATGAAGCATTACAGGACTAATGACATTTTCTAGTATATCTGATTTGTTGTAGTTCTTCTCTGTCAACAATATTTCAAACTTTGTTCCATTTTGTTGGAAATATAACCTGTAGGATGTGACTGCCTGAATAAGTTTGAGACGTTTGGTTTTATCCTGTAAGCCTCTCAGAACCAGCAGAAAATAAACCCAATTCCTTCTGAGATAAAGTAAAGGAAACCATCTTACTTTTGGGACACAGAATGAAATCTTGAGTAACCCACCTCTTTAGACAGGAAGGTGATGTCAGCCTCGTACTTTGTGCTGTTCGGGTTATTGACCACCTCCACCACTACCGCTGTACACGCCCGCATCCCTGACGTGGGGAGGATGTCCAGCTGGTCCAGTAGGGCGTTCATCAGGGACGATTTCCCTGACCCTGTGTCCCCCACCACGGCTATTACGGTCCTAGACAGCTCCAGCCTAGACTCAAGCTCCTGCAGGTTTTTCCTGTGGTGACATTAAAACGTTTTTAAATCAGAAGCAGTGAATACAAAGTATCAGAAGAAAGTGAAGTATTTTGTTAGACTTACATCCACTGTATTACTCTGGGATTCTCTGTTAATCTGGGAGACTGCTGAAATTCCCTCTTCAGTGTCTGCAAAATGTCTCTGCATCTAAAACAAAAAAAGATATTTTTCAATGAAAAAAAAACATGTATAGTTCAATTAACAGAATTAAGATCTTTGTCAAAAATTGGACTGCCTAACATAGCAAACCTTTACCTCTGAACCTGATTCTGAGCTGTCTGGTACGAGTTACCGGTATCCATTACAAGCCTCCTCTGAGCTCGACTGGAGCTCGATACATCCCCTGTTGTCTCCTGACTTGAGCTGGTGGGTACAATAGACCTATCAGGATCTGGACTCTCCTCCACCACCTGTCCACCAGACTTCTTAGCTTTCAGCTTCTGCATCAGTTGTCTCACTTTGGACATCTGGGATGAAGTTTTTTCTTTTACATCCCCTGATTCTTTCTGATCATTGGAAAAGTTGAAATCAGGCTGTGTAACAGGGGCCTTTCCTTTTTCTTTAGTTTTGTCCCTGCTTTTGTTTGTCTTTGATCTCTTTGGTGTAGAAATAAAATCCTCACTATCATCCTGAGCTTTCCTCTTCCGACCAATACTTGGTAATTCATTATCATTTTCTAACTCCAACCACCGGTTAGATTCACTGCCTCCAATACCATTGGTGTCTCCATCAGAATCATTATTTTCCTCATCCATTCCATTATGATTATTTATATCAGGTGAATTCAATGCATCAAAATTGACTTCTGGTCCAGAAAACTCGCTGTCACTGTCAAATTCCATAGTTATTGGGGTTTTCTGAGGTGTTTTTTCTGGTGATCTAGTTTTGCTGGTGCTCTCCTCGAAGGTTGTGCTGGTCTCTGGTCCCATGTTTTCTGATCCTGCCTCTGGGATAAGGGGAGACAGGGCCTGGGAACAGTAGGGTGACAAGGGAGGGGGTGCTCCCCACTCCTCCCCACTCTCCTCAGGACAAGTGTCATCCACGTAATCTTCACCATAGTGATCCATGTGTGGGATATCAACTCCAGTCTGAGCTCTGTCTTTAAGTGGATCTTGAATTACATCCTCATTATCCCTTTCAATATCATCATCTCTATCATTTACCAAATGTGAATTTTCTTCTGATGCATCTGGAGTGTCTTTTGGGGACTCTTCATTTGCCTTTTCTTTATCCTGAAGCTCCTCTCCTGGTTCGTCTGCTGAGCTGGCTCTTTCTTCGGTATCTGAGACAAGGGAATGTTCTGTAGAATCATCATCAGTTGTCTGCCCTTTGTTCTTATCCTTCTGATTTTCCACAAGTAATTTTTCACCATCTAAAAAAATAAAAATTCAAAAACTTTAAAAGAATGAATTGAAATCTTTTTCAGATAATTTCTGAAGTATTTTATAGAACAACTCAAGTATTAAGACACCAAAAAAGAAGAACCTGTCCAAATAATCAGGATGCAGGGCTCTTAATTTTTGGGGTCAATATGAAGAAATGTCTTGCCTGCTTGGTCGATGACATCATCAATTTTTCAGAGACCCAGCATCTACAAAAATTAAAATTCAAGAACTTTAAAAGAATGAATTGAAATCTCTTTCAGATAATTTCTGATGTTCATGTTCATGTTGATCATAATTTTGTTGTTATCATTAGTCATCCTAAAACAATGGAAAATTAAAACCCCATGAAAATTTGTGATTTCCCAGTTTTAAATGGATTTTCATTTTTCAACAGAAATAAGCCTGCTCACTTTAAAAAAGAATGCTTTGAGTACCCTCATCAAAATATTTTCTTTGAAGCAACAGCTACCTCAACTTGTACTTAGATGAACTTACAAAAAAAACAACTAAATGCATATTTTTTTTACAGCAAGTTTGCTTCTACCAGTACAAGTTTGACTAGTACATGTATTTGTAAAGCATCCACATACATTTATGTCAAGCTGTCATGCTTGTACCTAAACAAAATAAGTACCTTGACTCTCCATGAATGACTGTTTCTGCAATGGACTTGTCCTTTTAATTCCATCACCCTCTTGTAATGGATAAATCCTTTCTATCTCATCCTCTTCATCATTAGATGTCGTCAGTTTTTCTTCGTCTGCTTGTTCATTGGATGTACTGGGCATTTCCTTTTCTGTTTGGCTGAGTTTGAGCGTAGTTTGTCTGGACTTTCTATCCCCCTGAGAGGGCCTCCTTTCACTGCCGTCCCTGTCAGAGTCACTGTCTGATTCACTGACCACTTCCTGTTTTAACTTCAACCTTGAAGGAGTAAAGTCTGCATCACTCTCTGATCCAGAGACAATTTCTATGTCACTGTCAATGTACATGCTCTTCACTGGCTTCTGTTCCTTGGTCTTCCTCAGTTTCTGTGGACTTCTTCTAGGCAGAGGACTTGATTTGCCTTCCTTCTCCTTCTTCAGTGGGGTCCTATTCAGAGACAGCCTCTCTCTGAGTACTTTTCGTGGACTTGATTCGTCCGCAGATGTGACTGGTGTCTTCTCCAACCTCTGGAAAGCTTTAGACTTTACAGGAGATTTTACTGGGGTGGAGGGCTCCTCTTTTATGGTCAGTCTAGTCAGGGATTTATTACCAACTGTTTTAGGCTTTTCCTCTCTAAGGAACAATACCTCAGGTAACTCATCACTGCTGGAATCAGACAGGGAAATGTGGATATCATCCAAAGACTTCAGTGGTAAGGCTGGTTTCTCTTCCGTTATTTCCAGATCACTGTCACTTTCGAGCTTTGGCAGACGGCTTCTGTATCTACTTGTAGCATCTTCAACATCACGATTTTCATCAGTACCCTTGCACCACAGGGGCATCTTATCCACTCTGTTCTCTACTTCACATATAAAAATACACAAGGGAAGAATCGAAAGTAGCACACGATTTTTAAAAAAAGTCAAAAAACAACTTACTTGAGAAAAGTTACACAAATCTTGAAAGGAACTAGCGCAAATAATGTCGTAGTACTTATCCCTTGTGTATTTTTATAATAATAATAATAATAATAATAATATGTTTATTCACCAATCAAGGGCCCACGGGGGGCATGAACAATTATTACAAAATGATAACATTGATTACAATTCTATATTAAGGATAATGTAACATGACTAGTGATTAAGTTTGACATTGAGAAGTGCATCACGACACTGGATCAAAAGCATAGAAACCATAGAATGATAAAAGAAAACACAATTAAATAAAAATGATAGATATAAGGTAAATTAAAAAAAAAAAAAAATCTTGTAGTAATGGCAGTACTCTAATATAAAACTAGTGCATCTTGAATACAAAGGGCACCAGGGGATGATACCTCTACACAGCCAGTCTGGCAAACCTGTACCCTAAGTATTGAAGATGGTCATTCAAAAAAAAGAAAATCATTTAAGTATAACAGAAATAATAATTTCAATTAATAATTTAAGTACTTAGCATATAATTAGAAACTTAATGCAAACTAATCTCTTGGAGTTAGTTCAATAGATATTTGACATATGCATACCCACATACACAAACACACACTTACTGTTACAGAAATCCATGCATACAAAAAATAATAATTTATCGAGGGACGGAGTGTATTTTTAGAAAGGGGAATTTCCGTGATCGATATACCTGTGGTGTAATTTCTATTTTTAGATATGCTTTAAAATGTATTCAGTAAATATAGGTGGAACTTTTATTTATCTGTGCAAGAAGATCCTCTAGCTCCATAAAAGAAAAAAAACCCATTCTTTTTTAGATTGAACAATGAATTATTTCAGCCTGTTGTGCAATACCCCCTCAGTTAAAAATAGCACAAGGGGACTTTCCGGTGAATGAGGATATATGAATCGCAATTAATCCCGACAGTCATTTATTAGCTGAGCTTAAAAGAGAGCAACTTATCGTGTTTAACACGTCTATATGAAACAAATCTGTCCAGGTAAACCTGCGCGCTGATGGAGCGGAACGACGAACACAGGTGTGATGACTGCGGGAAATCTTTCAAGCAGAAATCTCATTTAAATAGACATCAGAGAACCATGCACGGAACGCCGTATACTAATGTATGTCCAATATGTCATTCAAAATTCAACAGGAAAGACAACTTTTCCCGACATATCAAAACACATGGAGAAAAAAGGAGGGCGGATCAAAAACAAACAAACCACGCTGATGAAACAGACGAAAACCAGTCAGAGATGAAAAGACGGCGATACGAAGAAATAGGTTACAGGATGCAGAAAATAATCCTCCAGATATCCCCATGCAAAGTACAAGGAATGAGATGAGTACAGAGTCTACAGGGAAATGCATTTGGTGTACCCAGATTAAACCTTTATTAAATGGGAAAAAATTCTGTCATTCATGCGCTGAGAAAGGTAGAGAATGCCACTGGTGTCATCGACCTCTACCAGAACGATTTTACAGTCACCGAACAGATGTATGCGATTCCTGCGTAAATAATAGACGACATAGATGGAGTACACAATCTGGTGCTGGAAGCAAGCAAGCATTAAAAGGAGGGGTGGAAACGAAAGTGCTGGAACCAAACCCGTGTAATCTGTGGGACATTCTTCAATTTTTTAAAGACAACAGTGACCCAATCCAATATCTTCTTCATACTACCCTGTGGTCAAAACGAGGTATCAAATGGTTTTTGACTTTGTATGTCAAATTTGTCAAATACAATGAAAACAATGAGGCTGTCTATGCTGAGCCGACATTTAGATCTATCAATTTTACACTGACAAATCGAGCAGAAATCAAAGAGCAGCTAGCTAAGGCTTACGAAAATTTGTATGTTAGTTATCAAAATTTTGAAAGGGACGGCAGTGGATGGTCTATTGATCAGATTTTAAAATTGGATGTTAACACTGCAGAATACGTTCCTTTAACTGGTAGCAGTTATCTTCCCTTGCCACCGAAAATTGCAAAGAAAAAGGCTGTACTGAACATACAAAATGCTGATCAAAAATGTTTTCTATGGTCGGTTTTAGCCTCTCTTCATTCTGTTAATAGATTAGATAACCCAACTCGCGTGTCAAATTACACGAAGTATGAGTATGAACTGAATACTGAGGGATTAGACTTCCCTTTACCTCTGTCTCAAATTAATCGATTCGAAAAGAAAAACAACATATCAGTCAACGTGTTTGGATTTGAGAAAAATGAAATTTTCCCCCTTCACATAACAGAGGCAAGAAATATGTTCCACCATGTCAATTTGCTTCTTTTCTCAAAGGGTGAAACAAGACATTATTGTCTTATCAGGAACATGAGCAGGCTAATGGGAGATAGAACAAGCCACAATGGAGAAGCGTTCTATTGTAATTTCTGTCTCCATGGGTTTACAAGACAAGATTTATTAGATGAGCATGTTCCCTATTGCTCTCCTCACGGTCCCCAGAGATCATCATTCCCAAAATCAGAACATGATCAATGGGTGCAATTCAAGCATGTCAGTAAACAATTGAAGGTGCCCTTTGTCATTTATCTCGACTTGGAAAGTTTAACTATTCCTATTCAATCTTGTAGTCCAAGCCAAACTCATTCCTCAACAACTCCCTATCAAAAGCATGAACCCTGCGGATTTTGCTATTACGTGAAATGTTCTGATGATAGTAAATCAAAACCTGCTTATCTATATACGGGTGCCAATGCTATGGATCACCTCTTTGAATGTTTGATCAAAGAGGAAGAGGAAATCTGCAAAATACTCTCCCAAAGTATACCCATGTCCATCTCAGTTGAAGAAGAAAATGCGTTCAAAAACGCCACTAATTGCCACATTTGTGAACAACCCTTAGGGGTGGATAGGGTCAGAGATCATGATCACTTAACGGGAAAGTACAGAGGCGCTGCTCATAATTAGTGTAACTTACAGCTCCAATTTAAAAAAAGAAAATAAGGATTTCTACATTCCTGTCATAGCGCAAAACAGCCGCAATTACGACCTTCACCACATGATGAGTGCCATTGGGAAATTAAAAGATAAGAAAATATCATGCATTCCAAACAATATGGAGAAATACATTAGTATTTCACTCGATAATTTACGTTTTATTGATTCACTCCAATTTCTGAATGCCTCTCTGGACACTTTAGTTACAAATTTAGCTAAAGAAGGAGGATCTAGATTTCAAAACCTATCACGACATTTTCCGTCTGAAGTTGAGAGAGACCTCCTACTAAGGAAAGGGGTTTATCCCTATGACTATATGTCCTCTTGGGATCGATTTTACGACCAAGAGTTACCTCCCATCACTGCATTTTACAGCAAATTGTCCGAATCTGATATTTCTGAGATTGACTATGTTCACGCTGAAAAGGTATGGAAAACCTTTAACATGACAAACATGGGGGATTAACATGATATATACTTAAAAACGGATGTCTTACTACTCTCTGATGTATTTGAGAATTTTAGAGACCTATGTCTGGATGCATATCATCTAGATCCCGCTCATTTCTTTACTTCACCTGGTCTTGCATAGGAGGCCATGTTGAAAATGACAAAAGTTAAGTTACAGCTCTTTGACGACATCGATATGGTCTTGATGATAGAGCAGGGAATTAGGGGAGGGGTGTCTATGATCTCGAAGAAATATGCCAAAGCCAACAACCCAATGGTGTCTGATTTTGATCCTTCAAAACCGAAAACCTGGCTTACTTATCTAGACATGAATAACCTTTACGGTACGAGTATGTCAATGCCCCTGCCTGAGAGGGACTTTGCCTGGTGCACTCCAGAACAAATAGATAGCTTAAATGTCATGAATATCCCAGATGACTCGGACACCGGGTATATATTAGAAGTGGATCTAAAATATCCGGAATCCCTACATGACGAACATAGTGATTATCCTCTTGCTCCTGAAAACAAAACAATTACAGATGATATGTTGTCTCCTCATAGTTTGATGCTCAAAGAAAAGTTGAACATTAAAGAAAGTGCCCCAAAACTCGTACCTAACCTCAGTGATAAAGAAAAATACGTTCTTCATTATCGAAATCTAAAATACTATTTGTCAAAAGGTCTTGTATTATCCAAAATCCACAGGGTTCTAGAATTTACCCAGTCTCCTTGGTTGAAATCATATATTGATTTTAATACACATAGGAGGTCTCAGGCTACAACAGATTTCGAGAAAGATTTTTATAAGCTCATGAATAATTCTGTCTTTGGGAAAACCATGGAGAACATGAGAAAGAGAGTGAATGTGGAACTGGTGCACACCAAAAGAGATTACGTAAAGTATGTGCGAAGTCCAACTTTCAGTCTTTTAAGATCTTCAATGAAGATCTAGTAGCTGTCAATCTTAGGAAAAACAACATTGTTCTCAATCGCCCCATATATGCTGGTTTTTGTATTCTTGACCTCGCTAAGCTGCTCATGTTCGAGTTTCACTATGACTTTGTAAAATGTACCTACGGGGAAAAGGCTAGTCTTTTGTTTACAGATACGGATAGCCTTTGCTATGAAATCCAAACAGAAGACATTTATCAAGATATATTTACTCATAAAAATCTTTTTGACACCAGTAACTTTGAGAAAACTCACTTTCTTTTCTCCAAAAGCAACTGTAAGGTTCTCGGTAAAATGAAGGATGAGTGCGGAGGGAAACCGATAGAAGAATTCATTGGTCTCAGACCTAAGATGTACAGTTTGTTGTATGATGGCGCAGATAAGAAAACGGCTAAAGGAGTTAAAAAATCTGTAATGACAGACAATTAAAACATCAGGCTTACAAGCAAACCCTTTTTGATCATTGCTCCATGCGTCATTCAATGAACTTGATTAGAAGTTACAACCATCAGTTGTTTTCTGTATCTGTTTGTAAAACAACACTAAGTCCATACGATGACAAACGGTTCGTTCTAGACTCTGGTATACACACCTTCGCTCATGGTCATTAGTACATGTTTCACACCTCGAACAAAGGATTTTTGCGTGTACCAAATCACTTGGTACACCCCAAGCCCAAGCTTCATGGTTGGGTGACTCTGCTATTGTGTGCATAATTATTGAGCAAATCATTACCAATGATAGGTTACAATCATGGACACAGGACAAGGTCACCAGACAATGAATAATGGACCCTGATGTGCTACCTAGTCAAAAAAATCTACATATAGTTACATAAATTAGTACAGGAAGAAAGATCTCTTTCTCTCCCCCTGTCTTTCTTCCTGAGCTATTAAACTTTAGGCAAAATTAAAATATGAAAAAATAAAAAAAAATTAAAATTAAAATCACGAGTTAAAGAGAAATTTAAGAAATGTCTAATGATTGAATATTAAGGATTTACCGTTTACATTGGTACTTTATACATGTAATCAGTATCATCGCATCGAGAAGTGAGAACAATAAAATTTTACTTACTATTTAATTTATTCTTCGATTCCAATTAATGAAGAGATATGGACTGATTGGGACACAGCAAAAAGTCTAAATAAGATTTTTTTCATGAGGTTCAAATACGCAGGAACCGTCCTACATTGCTCAAGTAGTGTACATGTATATTCGACCGTAAACCTTTCTATTCCTGCTTTTCGTTTTCTGCCACCCAAAACAAATGTTTAATAATGTCCACAAAACTAAAATGCTCCTGATTTAAATCCATTAACAAGAGGCCCAGGGGCCACAGCGCTCACCTGAGCACATCAGGCTTGAATTTACCCACCCACCCCCCCTCCAGGCGTTCATCATTTGAACAAACTAGAATCTACACTACCTGAGGATGATTCCATATAAATATCACTAAGAATAGCTTTGAAGTACTTGAAAAGAAGATTTTAAAAGGTTTCCCTATATATCCCTATGTAAAACTTGGGTTGGCCATTTTGGCCCCACCCTAGCCCCGGGGGTCAAGATTTGTACAAACTTGAATATTTACATTCACTATGTTTTTCTAGTAAGCTTACTGTGAAATTGATTTGAAAAACATTTTCGTGTATACTTACGCGTAGAAATATACACGGAGAAACATGCGTTAACGTGACGTCACAATGAGACTGCAGCGACATTAGTAAAATGCAAAAAATAGGACAGCGAAAAATTCAAATATTGGGTATATTTTAGTTGCCTCCAAACAGGTAAAATGTAAATATAAGGAATGTTTTTTGTGAATTATTGGTGTGTGAATAACACAGACTTGTCACGTAGGCATATTTCATGAAGCGCGCTAGCTACTACACTACTTGAAGATGATTCCACATGAATTTTACTCTCCTGGCCCAGTGGTTCTTGAGAAGAAGATTTTTAAAGATATTACCTTTATATTCCTATGTAAAACTTAGGTCGGCCATTTTGGCCCCACCCTTGCCCCGGGGGTCATGATTTGAACAAACTTGAATCTACATTACCAGAGGATGATTCCACATTAGTTTTATCTTTCCTGGCCCAGTGGTTCTGGAAAAGAAGATTTTTAAAGATATTTCCTATATATTCCTATGTAAAACTTGGGTCGACCATTTTTGGCCCCACCCTTGCCCAGGGGGTCATGATTAAAACAAACTTGAATCTACACTACCTGAGGATGATTCCACATGAGTTTTATCTTTCCTGGTCCAGTGGTTCTGGAGAAGAAGATTTTTAAAGATTTTTCCTATATATTCCTATGTAAAATTAGGGTCGGCCATTTTGACCCCACCCTTGCCCCGGGGGTCATTATTTGAACAAACTTGAATCTACACTACCTGAGGATGATTCCAAATGAGTTTCTTCTTTTCTGGCCCAATGGTTCTTGAAAAGAAGATTTTTAAAGATTTTTCCTATATATTCCTCTATAAAAGTAGGGTCAGCCGTTTTGGCCCAACCCTTGCCCCGGGGGTCATGATTTGAACAAACTTGAATCTACACTACCTGAGGATGATTCCACATGAGTTTTATCTTTCCTGGCCCAGCGGTTCTGGAGAAGAAGATTTTTTAAAAATGCCATTAATTTTTAACAAATTCATGATTATCTCCCCTTAGAAAAAGGCGTGGCCCTTCATTTGAACAAATTTAAATCCCCTTCACCCAAGGATACTTTGTGCCAAGTTTGGTTGAAATTAGCCCAGTGGTTCTTGAGAAGAAGATAATAATGTGAAAAGTTTACGACAACGCCAACGACAACGACAACGACGACGACAGACAACGGACAAATTTTGATCAGAAAAGCTCACTTGAGCCTTCGGCTCAGGTGAGCTAAAAAGGCATGACATGACTTTCTTTGAATCTACTAAAGTGAACCTGTATTGTGTTTGAAAACTACTCACTGTAGACCGTCACCTGACAGGTAGATATTACCCCAAGGGTATAATTATCACATCTGGGCCTGTACAAAATGACAACAGTCAGGGTCAAACTATCGTTTTCTTGATTAAATAACAAGAAACACACAAAGATTTGTAATTAAATAGACAGAGACACAAAGGGCTTAATTTCTCGTGTGAAGCATGTACTAAGTATGTTGTTAAACTTTTCCCTCTCCATTCGATTTGGTCCCTCGCTTCGCTCGGCACCAAATCTCATGGTACTCGGGAAAAGTTTACCAACATATACTTACAAAATCACACCATTTGATACTCATGCGTAAGGTTATGAATACTGTAAAAAGTATATACAAGTATAACAAGACAATTCTTATTTTGTCAGATTTATTGATTTTAATATACATTTTTGTGTATGATTCAATTTGTTACATAATATGTAAAAACATTGTCATCATTTAACATGTCAATTTGATAATAAAGAATTGAACTTAAAACATGGACTTTGTTTTCTTGTTTCATAATGTTAAATCACTTGTATAAATTATTCATCCATTTCCTCGTCGCTAGACTCTTCTTCAGTATTGTCCTGGTAAACGCTATCGTCGGCCTCCAACAGCTGATCAAATTCTTGTCGATATTTATTTAGAACACGGGAAACTGCCCTTTCCAGATCTATATCCTTTTTCTTCATGAGGGTTGATACTTCTTTGTTGATGTTGCGGTGAAGCTTGCTTCGATTCAATTTCGCAAAAGTTAGAAGAATTCTTTTATACTTCTTAAGGAGCAAGTTCCTTTCTTTGGGTAACATGATTTCACTTACTTCCTCTCGAGCTTCCGTTTTGGAGAGGTTGGATTTTTCTTCCATGAGCTGATCATATTTTTTGTCAAACTGAGATTGATTTTCCTCCCATACTTCATTGACGAGGGAAGAGAATCCGCTGTCATCATCCTCTTCACTGACGTCAGACATGGTATCGTTTTCGTCTGAATTATCTTCCAGTGGACATCCATTTTTAACATGACGCTGTAAATCATAAGAGCTGGCGTACATGGTTCCGCAATCGACACATGATGGGTATTTCTCATCAAAATTTCTCGTATTTAGTTGCGATGGCCAAGGATAGGTTTTCAGATTATCAGAAGATCCTATCAGTTTTCTTTGATAATACGACAAATCGTTATTATCAATATCCTGAACTGGTTTCTGGTAAGCCATCTCCTCACTTTGATAGTCTGAGTTTAGAAATTTGTGGTAAGATGAGTCGCCTGGAGACGTCTTCTCTGTTTGATGCTCTGCCGTCAAATGATGTCCTGAGTTCTCTCGCGCTCTCATATAGGGTTTGAATATATCCGTCTGAAATCGCTTTGATTCTGGGGTCCCTTGCTTTAAATCTAACACAAGGGCTCCGTAGGGAACTGACACTGCTTTTTCATAAACGTCTAGAAGCTTCTGGGCGTTTCCAGGGTACATCTGTCGAGCTAAAACTCCGATCTGTTGTCGATCTCTCGGATTTTTAAACAGAACTATGTACTGACTATTTAAACTCATTGTTCGATTTTCTTTTCCTTTGTTGAATAAATTCTGCATGATACAAATTACGCTTAGGTTGCGATGATGTGCACCCTCTGTAAACAACTCACAGATCTCCTTGTCCTGAGTTGCATCCTTCATCATGTCGTCAATGATCAATAGAGTTCTTTTCCTGGGGTTGATAACTGTATCTGATTTAATATCCTCTGTAATGCCTTCAATAAATATTATACCTGGAATCCAGTACTTTAGTTTATCATATAGAGGTTGCCATCGCTTATAAATCCATAAGATTTTCTCTGCTACTGGGCTTTTGAGTTGATCTTTGTGAATTAATACTTTCTTGATCCATGTGGATTTCCCTGACATAGTTGGTCCTGCGATAATCATCGTGAAGGGATGGATGAATTTGAACCTCTGAAAATCTGATGTCTCTTCTGGATGAGGTAAGTCCTGAGGAGGAGGAGGAGGCAATTCCTGAGGAGGAGGAGGAGGAGGAGGCAATTCCTGAGGAGGAGGAGGCAATCCCTGAGGAGGAGGAGGCAATCCCTGATGAGGAGGAGGAGGACGTACTTTCTGAAGAGGAGGATACGCTTCATTGATCGGAGAATATGGTTGGTTTGTTCCATGAGCGATACGTTCATGCCTCCTCATGTTATCAAACCTGGAAAATGCTCGCTGGCAAACAGAGCACGATGTTGACCGCATGATTGTCTTGGATAGAATGAACAAAACTTCAATTTGGCCTCTTATATATCCTGTAATTCATCCTCATTAACCCAGGAATTAAATTTTCTGGGGTATCCTTGCCATTTGACCAACACTTCCGTCTGACCTCTGCGCTTGCGTCTTTTTAGTACTTTCTCTATTTTCCACAAGTCGTCTCTTGTTTTGTTAACCCTCTGCAATTCCGCTTCATAGAAAGTTCCGTCAATAGGATCTTTGCTGTAATCCACGACTTTGTATACAGGTATTCCTTGACGTAAAAATTTTCTGTTGACAATAAAGACTTCCTCGGTCCATTTTTGTTCGTAGTCTCTCTGGAAAGTGTGTTTTATTCCCGACAATCTAACATAGTCACCCACTTTAAATTTGAATCGTTTATGTGGTTTATAATTTTTCTTTCGCACCACAGTGGGTTTCAACACATCCACATACAGTTTCATCCACAGGATATCTTCATTTGTTTTGTTCACATCGCTTGGAGATAGACCATTCAGGGATCTGTGCGGTCGGTTGTTATAATTTCGAACGATGTCTTGTAAAACTTCAACGTATCTGTATGTGCGATTATGTGTGAAGTAGCGATACATCATGACTTTCAATGTCCTGATAAACCTCTCTGCATAATTAGCATGGGTGACATTTTGCGTGGCGAAATGCTGTACGTCTTTCCTCTTCAGATACTGCTTGGTCCATCTATTGATCCACTCTGATCCTTTATCCGTCCGAAGTTCAGAAGGAATTCTACCTTCTTCAAATATATCTTTCAGAGCATCGATTATACTTTCATGTTTCTTATTCTTCAAAGGTCTAACCCAAGCATATCGAGAAAAATCATCAATTGTAACAAGCAGAAATTTCAAGTCGTCATTTTCTTTGGTAATAGAATTTACATCTGCTAAATCTGCATCCCAAAGAAAGTCTATTCCTTGAGAAATCACTCTGTTTGTTTTAAACTTGTACCTCTGCGGGCGCTGGAGACTGTAAGCATCGATGTCTTGAAGCCATTGCTTTATGGCTGACAACCCAACTTTATATTTTCCCTCTTTTTTGAGATAACGATGAATCTTGGTTGGACCCGAATAGCTTACGGAGTTTTCCAAATCGAAGTAAATAGATTTTAAATGTTCTTTCCACTCCATAATTTTTGTAAACACTGTAAAGGTGCGGTCACACGATACGATTTTTCATCCGATTTTCATTCGACTTGCTCAGGTAAGTCGAATGGAGTCGATTGGTCGGGTGGTCACACGATCCGATTTTACGTTCGATTTACAAACGATTTTCAGCAAGAAATGGACAGGTACTTTTTATTACTTTTTAGATAGGAGTACATATATTTCTGTTCAGAGGCATGTTTCTTTTCTGTTTGGATTAATAGAAAGGGGAAACATCCCCTCAGTTTAATATTACGTCATTTTACCCCATTGTGACGTTGATGCTGACGTAGTTACACGGTATACATGTCAATGATCCCCAAATGTAGATGATCAATCGAAGTTTATTACTTTCTACTTCGGCAAAAAAACCCTGCAATATTATAGTTCGGTCTACCAACAAAGGTGAAATAATATGCATCACAAAAATGAACTTTGTATGATAGACTAACCGTTGGTGAAAAAAGAATGAACGAATAGGCGAGAAAGAGTTTATAAGACGCTATTCAAGAGTTGATAAAACGGAACAAAATTACTATTTTGTAGTTACTTAAAGAATACCCCTGTAGACTGTTTTCTTTGTTATATAATTAAAAATGATATTTTCTTTTAAGTATAAATTCCATACACACATACAATTCAGTATGTAAATTAACTGATTATTGAAATGTTTTAAGGAAATTACTGCTGATTATTGTAGAAAAAATATGTAAGAGAAATAGGAGTTCCCCTTTCCCTCCCGAATCATTGACATCGGAAGCAAATTGAAAGGGGACCGGGCTAAGTGAAAGAGAAAAAAAAAATCAAACTTACAAGCAAAACTTGATCAACAAGCAAAAATATGTGTCCATTGGTCAAATACGAAAACCATATATCGTTAGGAGGGGGGGGGGGGGGGTCGAACTTCTTTTAGTGCCTTTTTTTTTTTACAAAAACTAGGCCCACCTCTTACCTAAAATGCAATTTGCGTCTTTAAGGGGTGGGGGGGGGGGGTAAACCTATAAACCTACATCTCAATGTATAAATGTTCAATGCCTATATTATGTCTATCTTTCTAAAAAAAAAGTGGGGGAGGGGGGCTAATCCCTCCAGGTTCTGACGCTTATACAAATAATACGATCACTTAGTTAATCACTTAATGTACATGTAATACGTTGTATGCGCACGTGTTTTAATTAAAGCGTTCACCCTCAAGAGATTAGTAGCTTATTTAAGATTTATATAAAAATAATTCGTTAATTTATTTAAAACTTGTAACTTTAATTTTCTAGAATTCGGAATTCCAGGTACAGAATGAAGTTGTCGCTTGGGGTTTCTACTAAATAATTACTATATTTTTGTAGATACTGGTAGTAATTAACAGCGATATAACAAATTGCGTGAAAGATCTTAATTTTAATCAATCAGTTACATGTACAGTGAATGCTAATTTTTAAAATACCCCATTTTTGATAATATTCACGATTTGAATGAAGTGTTTTCTATTAAATTCAGCTCTTAAATATAAGCGAAAAAATATTTGTGATAAATCATAAATGCATAATAAAGACACGAATTTCCGTGCTTGCAAACTATTGTTGAAGATATTCTTTTGTATGTATGTACTTGTAATTTTTCTTTTCCACATAATGTTTTTGGATATAGTTTTCTTTTTATTTCATTACATAGATGTATTTATATATAAAAAGTTAAAAGCTGTCATTATTTTACACTTTTTTTTAATTTCGTATCGCGGGAAATGTCATTGTGACGTCACGATTTTATTCAGAAAGTCGATTGAAAATCTGACGGCCATCCGATTTCCAAACGACTTTCAGACTTTGCTTTCGACTTACGACTTGGGTGGTCACACGGTAAGATTTAAGTCGAAAGCAAATCGGATGAAAAAATCGGATGGAAAATCTGATGAAAAGTCGCATCGTGTGACCGCACCTTAAGAATGATATAGAGAACGTCTCTTATATATACTTTTTAGGATACAGACTGGGTTTTTCCCATTTAATTATCTATAGCAGATTTTTTTTGTACATAGACAATACGATTAGACAGGTAGATAAATACTCCATCTACAAATCGAAGCCACTCATTTAACGGAATACATTTTAAAGCATTTCTAAAAATAGATATTGCATGACAGGTATATTGATCACGGAAATTCCCCTTTCTAAAAATACACCCCTTCCCTCGATTCCGTCCCTCGTCCCTCATGATGCAGAACTCTCATTTCCTATTCATCATATATTATCTATCACCAGGGTCTGTATACCCATCACCAGGGTCTATATACCCATCACCAGGGTCTGTATACCCATCACCAGGGTGTATATACCCATCACCAAGGTCTAAATACCCATCACCAGGGTCTATGTTATCTATCACCAGGGTCTGTATACCCATCACCAGGGTTTATATACCCATCACCAGGGTTTATATACCCATCACCAGGGTCTGTATACCCATCAACAGGGTCTGTATACCCATCACCAGGGTCTATATACCCATCACCAGGGTCTGTATACCCATCACCAGGGTCTTCATACCCATCACCAGGGTCTATGTTATCTATCACCAGGGTCTGTATACCCATCACCAGGGTGTATATACCCATCACCAGGGTCTAAATACCCACCACCAAGGTCTATATACCCATCATCAGGGTTTGTATACCCATCACCAGGGTCTGTATACCCATCACCAGGGTCTATATACCCATCACTAGGGTCTAAATACCCACCACCAAGGTCTATATACCCATCATCAGGGTTTGTATACCCATCACCAGGGTCTGTATACCCATCACCAGGGTCTTCATACCCATCACCAGGGTTTTACCCATCACCAGGGTTTGTAATACTCATCACCAGGGTCTTTATACCCACTCTACAGGTTCTTGTTGTCTTGTAGCTGTCGGTGAGTTTCTGTACTATATTTTCCATTGTAAGAGCTGGTTTCTTTTCCGTCACAAAGTGGGCCCTGAGGATTCTCATCATCTCAGGGAGACGCTGGATCATCAGTGACCTTTTGTCCTCCACAGGGTCACGCATCATCGCAATTTCCTGCTACTTTGCTTCTCGAGCTCGAATCTAAAAAAACAAACACATAGATATTCCTTGGGCTTATCTACTGAAAGGATTTTTTTCTTTCAAAATGAAAATTCTATACTTAATGATAATGAAACCATGAGCTTTAATTTTATGTGTCAAAATTTATTAGATGTTTTGGTGTGAGGAAACGAATATGATTTTTTTGAATAGAAAGTATTACTTTTAATTTAATCATTTTTGTATAGAAAGTATTACTTTTTATATGCCCCGCCATGAATATGGCCGGGGCATATAGTGTTTGTCATGTCCGTCTTCCGTCCTTCCGTCTTTCCGTCCTTCCGTCCTTCTGTCCTTCCGTCACACTTTGCGTTTAGCTCTGTTTAAAGTTAAGTTTCACAGAAACTATGCAAGATATTTTCATCAAACTTCATATGCTGATAGATATTGATGAGAGCTATGCAACTGCATCAACATTTTTTGACCTTGACCTTGCCTTTGACCTTGACATCACTTTTCTTAAATTACTGTTTAGCTCAGTTTTAAACATACCATTCAAGATGGTGTTATCAAACTTCACATGTTTATACAAACTTGCACGGATGGTGCATCTAGGGATGAACACTACCAGACTTGCTTCAGATGCTGGATCTGACCTACATTTTCCAGATGAGTGACCAGGTTAAGTTTTTGGAGCAGGTGCATTCCTAAGGAACTATAAGCCCTACTTGGATCAAACTTGCATGGGTGATGCGTCTAAGGATGGACACTACCAGACTTGCTTCGGATGCTGGATCTGACCTATATTTTCATTCCCAAGTAACTATAAGCCCGACCTGAACCAAACTTGCATGGATGATGCATCTAGGGATGGACACTACCAGACTTGCTTCGGATGCTGGATCTGACCTATATTTTCATTCCCAAGTAACTATAAGCCCGACCTGAACCAAACTTGCATGGATGATGCATCTAGGGATTCACACTACCAGACTTGCTTCGGATGCTGGATCTGACCTATATTTTCATTCCCAAGTAACTATAAGCCCGTTCTGAACCAAACTTGCATGGATGATGCATCTAGGGATGGACACTACCAGACTTGCTTCGGATGCTGGATCTGACCTATATTTTCATTCCCAAGTAACTATAAGCCCGACCTGAACCAAACTTGCATGGATGATGCATCTAGGGATGGACGCTACCAGACTTGCTTTGGATGCTGGATCTGACCTATATTTTCATTCCCAAGTAACTATAAGCCCGACCTGAACCAAACTTGCATGGATGATGCATCTAGGGATGGACACTACCAGACTTGCTTCGGATACACGATCTGACCTATATTTTCATTCCCAAGTAACTATAAGCCCGACCTGAACCAAACTTGCATGGATGATGCATATGGGGATGGACACTACCAGACTTGCTTCGGATGCTGGATCTGACCTATATTTTCATTCCCAAGTAACTATAAGCCCGACCTGAACCAAACTTGCATGGATGATGCATCTAGGGATGGACACTACCAGACTTGCTTCGGATGCTGGATCTGACCTATATTTTCATTCCCAAGTAACTATAAGCCTGACCTGAACCAAACTTGCATGGATGATGCATCTAGGGATGGACACTACCAGACTTGCTTCGGATGCTGGATCTGACCTATATTTTCCAAACAAGCAATTCAGTTGCATCACTATATTGGATATTCTGATCAAATTTTATATACATACAAATTTTCATGTTGCTTTACTAACATATCCTCGGCGGGGCATTCATGTCCTATGGACATATTTCTAGTAATTAAATGTAATGTTTGCAAATTAAAAACCACTTCTTTGCAATGTATGATCAGACATATTCTGTTTGTTTATAGAAACTTGAAAAAGTTTTTTTTTTTTCATTCGTCAATAGAAGTGACCTATTGTAAAGGGCCTGTAACTGTATTATTAATCAGTTACCTTCTCCAATAGGGACTGAGGAATTCCCTGCAGCTGAGGTAAATTCTTAGCTGCTGATGGCTCTGGTGAGTTACTGGGCTCCTTTTTTGTGTTTTCCATGGCTACTGAATTAAGGGCCTTCTTTACCTATTAAGAAAATGACAGTAAATTTTACAATTACAGTAAAACTACAGTGTTCCCCACACATGCTTTTCTGTCTGTTATTGAGTACATTTATAGAAATTTAGTATCTTTCATTTAATCACAAATAAGTAAAAGAAATTTCAAACTAATACCCTGTGAACATGTACTTTCATTGAAAAATGTACACTAATAGTGTAGGGATTTTTACAGAGGCTCGTACTTGTAAAAGTAGACACTCCCTGAGGCTATCATATTCAAGAGAGCATGAATCTGACTTCAACAAAAGAATAATCTGTTAAATTTAGGGTTAATACTTTCTCTTCAGAGTAATTGAATTGAAAACCATCGACAAATTGGTCTAATCATCAATGCCCCCTGTATTACTTGACCTACCCTGTCTGGAAGCCTGGCTTTGTTATCCTCCAGGACGTCTAGAGCTGACTGGTACTTCTTCACATACGGAGCTTCTGGCAGGCTGTCAACAGGAATATCTGGAACCTCGTCCAGGGAAAACTTTGGATGCCACCTTGTGATTTTGTCTTCAGGGACAGAAAGGGGTCGAGATAGAGAGGACAAAAATTTCTGCCAAAAAGAAGGGATATCATGAGAACAGTAAATTTTGTATCTTTAGAAACATGAATATATCTATGAATGTTTTCTTAGACTATATGATATTGTCTGTATTAAAATATAAATGTATCAACAGAGCAAAATCATAGGATTCAATAATCATAATCTTATTCTTTGTTTAAGTATGATTACTCTACAATCATTACATCTTGGTTTAAAGATATATTTATGTCTATGTATCCAAATTAATGAATTGTTAGAATTTATGGTAAGCATTTACTCTCAGTATCGACAATGCAATGTAGTTGTAGGCTGAAATAATCACCAAGTGTACCATTAATTTTTTTTTTACTTTCTGCATGTTTAACAGCACACATACATGTATAAACACCCACATTAACAATCATAGATTTTAGCTATGTTATTGGATTGCACTCACTGCATGTTTTAAACCAGCCTTTTTGTGCTTTACAAGTTTACCCTATGTTCAAGTTTACCTTATGTGCAAGTTTTACCTTATGGTGTTTCATGACAATTGAGATCAACTTGTTATGGAATGTGGTTTTCCTCTGAAGAATGTCTTTCGCAGCAAAACAGGGTCTACCTGACTTTGTTGTTAACTTATTCTCGGACTCTGTAAAGAAGACAACCGTCTTTCAGTGTTAATTGGCATTTTGTTTACATTCTAGATTTAATTTAATCACATATGGTAATAACAAGTTGAGGTAAAGACTAGACCAGTACGGCTATAATGCAAATTTTATTGTGAATATTATTTAAGTCAAGATTATACATAAAAGTTAGGAAATCAAAACAGATCACTGGGTGGTTGTATATACCATAGGGGCTTGTCTTCCGGATTGATAAATGTAAAATAATTTTTCAAAAATATGTATCTACATTAAATACACTCTAAAAATTGCTTTAATAAAGATTCTGACATGATCAGGCGAGAAAAATAATGTTTTTAAAAAAGTACTACACCTATATACATAAACTCTTAAAGGGACGCAAGCTGACATCTTGGAAAAAATACCCCCTCCCACTTCAGCACCTATTTCTGGACTCTAAGGCATTAATTTATTTAGTTGCCACAGTTCTCTTCCCCACAGTGATGATTTTCCTAAATGTTGATGCGGTTGTCATTCGTGGACACGTGTTAAATCAACAGAAAACGGTTACAATTCTTCGACTTGGAGCTCATCTCGCTGAATCGACCTCAAAAGAACGGAAGTTGACTTTTGTATATGGAAAACTCAGAGGGTAATCGAAAGCAAATGGTAACACCAAAGGACTCCCAGCTTCGCGGAAAAAATATTTACCGACAAGAAAAGGACAGTAAAATCTGGTAAATACCGGCTAAAGTTTGGTTTCACAGGCTAAATTGTCAAGACTCATTTAATATATAAGTGATTTGTTACATAATTTACAGGACACTTGCTCTAAAAGCACGCTATAGGCTATACCACGATTATTGCCCTTGCGTCGTTACCATGCAACCTTGTCAACTTCCGTTCTTTTGAGGTCGATTCAGCGAGATGAGCTCCAAGTCGAAGCCGTTTTCTGTTGATTAAACGCGTGTCCACGAATGACAACCGCATCAACATTTAGGAAAATCATCACTGTAGGGAAGAGAACTGTGGCAACTAAATAAATTAATGCCTTAGAGTCCAGAAATAGGTGCTGAAGTGGGAGGGGGTATTTTTTCCAAGATGTCAGCTTGCGTCCCTTTAAGAGTTTATGTATTTAGGTGTAGTACTTTTTTTAAAACATTATTTTTCTCGCCTGATCATGTCAGAATCTTTATTAAAGCAATTTTTAGAGTGTATTTAATGTAGATACATATTTTTGAAAAATTATTTTACATTTATCAATCCGGAAGACAAGCCCCTATGGTATATACAGTAGTAATATTTATGTGTGACTGACTGGAAATGGCTCTACAAAATAACATTCATGTAAAAAGTAGATGTGTATGTGTATGTATAAAGTAATTGAAAGTAATCAAAAAAGTAATTATAATTACATTGGAAATTTTAGCTGTAATCGATTAAATTACGATTACAAGTAATCGAAAATCTCTTCGATTACAGATTACTGTCGATTACTTGAAAAAAAAAAAGTAATCATTACAATCGATTACGATTACTCGATTACGATTACCCCATGCCTGACTCCTTTAAATTTTACCAAAAAACTGTATTCAAACCTGTCCTAATAATGCAAGTTAAATCAAGTTCATTCTTCGCATTAAACTCTGCAATAGACATAACAAAGAAATGCTATGATTGATAAAATAAACCTTTTTACAATTTGCCAAAACAGTTGTTTTTTCCCATTTTACCTCATTTTCAGAGTTTTCGCTTTCACTAGATGCTATGACATTGCTACGTAGCTGCAGCTTCTTCCTGGACCTTGGTGCCTTGATCACCTCATCCTTTTATTCTTTTAGTGGTGTCTTCAGGTCCTGTTTTACCTTGCTTTGTCGGGTACGCTTTCTCGAGGCCTGGGTCTTTCATAGGGGCTTGTCTTCCGGATTGATTAATGTAAAATAATTTTTCAAAAATATGTATCTACATCAAATACACTCTAAAAATTGCTTTAATAAAGATTCTGACATGATCAGGCGAGAAAAATAATGTTTTAAAAAAAGTACTACACCTAAATACATAAACTCTTAAAGGGACGCAAGCTGACATCTTGGAAAAAATACCCCCTCCCACTTCAGCACCTATTTCTGGACTCTAAGGCATTAATTTATTTAGTTGCCACAGTTCTCTTCCCTACAGTGATGATTTTCCTAAATGTTGATGCGGTTGTCATTCGTGGACACGCGTTTAATCAACAGAAAACGGCTTCGACTTGGAGCTCATCTCGCTGAATCGACCTCAAAAGAACGGAAGTTGACAAGGTTGCATGGTAACGACGCAAGGGCAATAATCGTGGTATAGCCTATAGCGTACTTTTAGAGCAAGTGTCCTGTAAATTATGTAACAAATCACTTATATATTAAATGAGTCTTGACAATTTAGCCTGTGAAACCAAACTTTAGCCGGTATTTACCAGATTTTGCTGTCCTTTTCTTGTCGGTAAATATTTTTTCCGCGAAGCTGGGAGTCCTTTGGTGTTACCATTTGCTTTCGATTACCCTCTGAGTTTTCCATATACAAAAGTCAACTTCCGTTCTTTTGAGGTCGATTCAGCGAGATGAGCTCCAAGTCGAAGAATTGTAACCGTTTTCTGTTGATTTAACACGTGTCCACGAATGACAACCGCATCAACATTTAGGAAAATCATCACTGTGGGGAAGAGAACTGTGGCAACTAAATAAATTAATGCCTTAGAGTCCAGAAATAGGTGCTGAAGTGGGAGGGGGTATTTTTTCCAAGATGTCAGCTTGCGTCCCTTTAAGAGTTTATGTATATAGGTGTAGTACTTTTTTAAAAACATTATTTTTCTCGCCTGATCATGTCAGAATCTTTATTAAAGCAATTTTTAGAGTGTATTTAATGTAGATACATATTTTTGAAAAATTATTTTACATTTATCAATCCGGAAGACAAGCCCCTATGGGGTCTTTCCCTTTGTTTCGCCCTCATTGTTCTGTTTAGATTTCTTTGATGGCGTCAGTGGACCGTCATGTTCGTCCCAGGCAGATGTTATTTCACTAGCCAAACTTGAAGTTGGATACGGCGATCGCGATCTTAATGCATCAGTTATTGATTGTTGTCCCTTGATTTGCTTAATTTTCCTGGGTCTCTGCTTTACACCTTTGGTTGTTGTTGATTTTGCGCTTGCATCGGGCAGAGAATCACCAATCCTGCGTACCAATCCTAAACGGTTTTGGACTTATATTAAAAATAGGAAGCAGGACTCATCCCAGATTGTGACACTGAAGTCCAAAGACGGTTTCCTCCGTAGCGATACGGCCAGCAAAGCCTCGATTCTGAATGAGCAGTTCCAATCTGTCTACACGCAAGAGGACTTGAGTACTCTACCCGATCTAGGACCTAGCCCCTTCCCTACTATGGACAGCATAACCATTAACGAGAGGGGAATATTGAAACTACTACAGGGACTACGCCCATACAAAGCTACTGGACCCGATGAGATTCCAGCGTTCATCCTGAAGCAAAGTGCAGAGTCCATAGCCCCATATCTGACAAGGATGTTCCAGCTTTCCTTAGATCACGGTCAGATACCTGATGAATGGCGTAGAGCAAACATCGTCCCTATATACAAGAAAGGGGAGAAACATCAACCATCAAACTACAGGCCCGTCTCGCTAACATCAAGAGCCTGCAAACTCCTGGAACATGTTGTACACAGCACAGTTATGGACCACTTCGATCGGAACAACATCCTCTGTGATGAGCAACATGGTTTTCGAGCCCGCCGATCATGTGAGACACAACTTGTTATAACACTGGATCAGTTAGCCAGAAACATGGACCAGGGATACCAGACAGATGTGATACTTCTGGACTTTTCAAAGGCTTTTGACAAAGTCCCCCACCAACGTCTCCTACTGAAATTGGAGCACTACGGAGTGTCAGGCACCACTCTAGGCTGGATAAAGGATTTCCTAAGTCGGAGAACCCAATCAGTGGTACTGGATGGGCTTACATCTTCACCGTTGGATGTCCTTTCCGGAGTGCCACAAGGAACTGTCCTGGGACCACTCCTTTTCCTAACCTACATAAACGACCTTCCTGAGTGCACCAAATCAGACGCCAGACTGTTTGCGGATGACTGTCTCGTATATCGACAGATCCGAAACCAGAGAGACGCAGACAAATTACAGAAAGATCTCACAGCCTTAGAAGGATGGGAAAAGAAGTGGCAAATGTGCTTCCATCCGGAAAAGTGCACAGTCATTCGGATCTCCAACAAAAGACAACCACTGCAAACATCATACACCCTGCATGGACATCAGCTGGAAGTGGTGGAGAGTGGGAAGTATCTTGGTGTTACCATCTCCCAAGACCTACAGTGGAACAACCATATACACACCAAGATAGGGAAAGCTACAAGAACTCTAGGCTTCCTGAGACGAAACCTTGGCCAGTGCACACCAACAGTTAAAGCAACAGCATACTGTACCATGATCAGACCATCGATCGAATATGCGTCACCAGTTTGGGATCCCTACCAGACCAACTTAACAAAGGATCTAGAGCAGGTACAACGTAGAGCGGCCAGGTTCGTCTTTAATCAGTACACGGATACCTCCCCCGGGTGCGTAACATCTTTACTTGAACAACTAGAGTGGGACTCACTCCAGCATAGGAGAACAACACATCGATTAGTCCTATGCTATAAAATAAGGAATCGCCTGGTGGACATCAACCCAGACAAGTATTATACACCCGGGGACAGAAGAACTAGAGGTAGCCATAGATACAGACAGCCTCGTGCCACCAAGGAGGTCTACAAGAATTCATTTTTCCCACGGTCGGTGAGAGACTGGAACCGCCTACCAGAGGAAATCACAGCAGCCCCTACTATACAGGAGTTCAGGACTGGACTGAACAGCGTCCCCTGGACCCAGCTGCAACCCTGGTAGACAAAGACAGCCACATTGTACATAGTTTTAACCGTTTTTAAAGAGGAAGCCTCCTGTTTTTAACCGAGCTGGAGTTATCAACACTCTGTATAGAGTCCAACTCCCTACCGGAAGAAGAAGGAGAAGAAGAAGAGAAAGTGTAAACAAAACATTTTCTGGTTCGGCAGATACAGGTGTAGAAATTCCTTTACCTCTGGTGGACAATCGCGTTGATCTTGTGCTTTTTGGTTCGCTCGGAATAGTTTCTGAAACCTCTGTATTAATTTGCAGCTTTCTTCGCTTAGGTGGCTGCGCATCTCCATTTCTTTTCTTGGTTGCATAAAATTCTGTTACTCGTGCTTGCGCCATTGTTGTTGTCAATTTTCCCGCTTACCGCGGAAGTCACGTGATCAAAATATAAAAGATAGATACAACACAGACCAACATTACATTTTCCGAATAAATAGATGCGATTTTATCAGGGGGCATACTATTTTCAGTTGAGTAGGGAGACACAATCAACTACCAATATTCCTTGAAAAACAAACACTCCTCACTAATCACCCTGGTTCCTACGGCCATGCCCTCCAATATATAGAAAATAGCTACCATACACTTGAGACCTTTCAATAACTACATCTGATAACCCCCTTTTTGGACGGAGGGGGGATTACAATCCAGAAATTTCTTGACAGAAAAAAATACCCTGTTGGAGGGGGGGAGTAATCGTTGACTTTTAATAACTTTTCATACCAATTTCACATACATCCGTGTTTTCGAGGAGGTGTTCACATTTGGGGGGGGGGGGGTCCAAGGTCACTTTTACTGGGTTTAGAACACAAGCCTTTAGATCGCTTAGAAAAAAATTGAGGTGTTGAAAAAAAAAATTTACACACACAAATTTTTTTTAAGCGATCCAAAGGCCTGTGGTTTAGAATATACATTTGATAAGACCACGGAACATTAACTGGCAAGATTAGAAATATGCAGCTTACGTCATTTCTGTTACAATCAAAATTCTCAATGACAGAATGAAATGGATGGGTGCAATTCGACGCGGACGGCCGGGAAACAATTGGATATCAGATTGAAATTCTAGTTTGAAATTCATTTTCAATCCACCTCAGCTATACTATAGAAGGCACATTATTACCGATTGACCCAGAAGACAAAAAATCAATTTCGGTATAGTTTGAAAAATTAAATGATACATGTATATGTATATTATAAAAATCAGAATTTTCTGTCCAGCGTTTTAAAGAAATATATGAAGTGTCAA